GGGGCTAGGAATCAGAATTGGATTTTGGGCCTGCTCAAACCATGACAGTGATAATTAATAGGTAATGAGACTGGTATAGCATGGCTCTGAAATGCAGTAGAATACATCTAAACATAGACTGTTTAGAAATTAAAATTTTAAATCACACTTTAAACAGGAATTAAAAACATCTTTTGCCATCACGGGCAAAAAAGTTAGCCCTTCACTAAAGGATGTGTGCCATATGTGTCACTGAAATATGTAATCTTCAATACAGTTATGCAACAGAATAAGAATTATTCATGAATTTGAGGTCAGAGAGTAGGAAAACATGGGTTAGACTAATATCATACCTGTTTTTAATCTGTACTTTAAATAAGGGCAGCTGTTTTAAATTTCATGGAGAGATCTTCCTTGTTCTTATTACTTTTTTCCTGAGATAATTTGTTCCACTCACAAGCTTGATGTGTGAACCTTCCAAGCCTGTTCTCCTGCACTAGTCTGTACTCAGGAGTAAATACAAAACTATATGAAAACAAACAAGTGAAAAAACAATTATTACAAAATATATATGAGTTACTTTAGTAGGATTTTTTTTTCCATATATCTCTCTCTCAACTATTTCACCTTTTCCTATATCAGCTAGTGCTGGTCTTCTGTGAGGGTAGTCAATCAAGGACATCTCTTCACACAATGACTCTTCTTCACTTGTGCTAATTGGAAAAGAGCCTTGACTCAATTCTGCTCACCTGGATCAGGCAATTTGTTCCACAGAACTCAAAAAGGACTGTCTCAAATTCAGTCTTTGCCTCTATACTGAGTGTTGCCTTACTTTTTATTGGTTTTCATAGTCAGTGAGCTACAAAGAGCAGCCATCCTCCCTCTGAAGATAAAGTGGGTTTACTCATTTTTTTTTAATTCATCAGGCATGACTTTCTGAACTTTCCTTGTTTCTGGTGTTTTTAAAAGGGAGGAGAAGAGAAGAAAGAATTCTTCTCTTCAGTCATTAATGCGAGGCCTAGACTTTTTGAAATTTTGAAGTTCCCAGCCACAATTCCTTATTCCCTTTAGTAATTTCTGGTTTTGTGGTTGCTCCAAGTGAACAATTTAGAGAGAGTGTTTTGAAAATGGACATAGTGCTTCCTGACAGAGGAGACATGTTCAGACAGTGCAGCCAGGACCTCTGGCAGAGCCTATGGGAGATACAACCAAAATTCTTGTTCTTCTGCCTGTAAAAATTTAAACACAACTTCAGCTAGCTTTTTTTCATGGAAATTATTTACTTTGGATGAGAACAAAAGCTGTGCAGAAGTATTTGATTCTGAGAAGATATATTTTTTGACTAATTCTGCTCCCACTTATACCTCTTGAAGCACTCAGGAGAAGGGGTTGATTACTTTCCCTGTAGAGGGAAAAAAAAGAAAAAAAAGACACTTTTGGAATTATGTATAGCATTTCAGTAAGAGAAACAGCTTTTTCATCAGTGGATGTGTATCTCATACCAGGTTGGCTTTCCATGACAACTGGCTGCTGTTCTTCCTGCCCAGCCTGCTGGAACATCTCCAGAGCTTGCATTCAGGGCCACCACTGAAATGCCTAGAGTGAGTTTACTTTTAATGGCTCTGCTTCAATCAGGAAGAAATAATTAGAAAATAACAAATTGAAGGAGAGTACCTGCAAATTTTTAGGCTTGTTGTATTCAGTAAATATTTCATTAGGAAACTCATGGAAAGGTAAAAAAGCAGCAATTAAAAATTTAATTTTTGAAAATGTGGTCTTTTTTGTACATTAAAAAAGTCTTACAATGAAGGAGCAAACCTAATTTTCTGGTTAGCTTTTGCTGGTTTTGAACTGTACTGTCTGGGGCATATGAAACAGAGCACTGAAGCATTTGCATTTCTCCTACTTGATTTCTGTGTCCTCAAAAAAACTCAATGCAGAAGGGACTACCCTTCCCACCACTGCAAGCGTGGGAGCATCACTTATGAAGGGATTAGTTTTAGAACATACCCTTTTATAACAGCCTTAGTAAGAGTAGAGAGCAGTGAATTTGAAATGCCATAGTTGTACATGACCTAACTCACAGCAATTGTACTTACCAGCTTCAGCTGAAGCAGCTTTCAGTTTTCAAAGAAAATGGTGGCCAGTAACCATGCGTCTCCTTTGAAATCTTTGCCAGAACATGAGATTTTTTTATAGGTTTTACCAATAAGGAGACTTTGTAGACCCTTCAGCGTTCTTCTAAAATCATGAAGCAGAAAAATATGTCCCAGTATACTTTGCTCAATTCATCTAAACTTAGTTTTAGCCGGAAACTAATTTGCTGACGAACTCATATACACCTCATAAAGCATGGTAGTCTTGGAATTAACCAAAATCACAGCTTTAATTTCAAAGCTCAGTTCAGCCTTATTTGTTGAAACATTGGCAACACTCTCACCTGTCTTCTTAGCTGCTTCTTAAATCTAAAGGAATTGTGCAAGATGGAAAACTGTATTTCTGTGCTGGGGTTTTTGTTTTTTTGGTTGGTTTGTTTGGGGGGGTTTGTTTGTTTGTTTGTTATTTTTTTCAAATAATATTCTTAAACTGTTCTTTCTATTGCACAGTTGAAGTTTCATTATGAATTTGATAAGAGTTTGTACAATAAATATTTTAAAGCATTCTGCAATTTAAAAACTACAAGAAGCAACTTGAGATAAATATCAAAAAATTATTTCCATGTGCTTTGCAGCAATATTACTGTTTGAACGATGGTTAGGAGTTGAAATGGAGTTCATACACATTTTGTACATCAAAGATATGAGTTAAAAATCACCGAGCATTTGGCTTCTATATTTTGGGAGTATTTTTAATAATCAAGAAGAGTAGAAATGAGATGACATCACTAACAACTAAAATACAAATCCTTGAAACATTTATGGCATACCAGCTGTTGAAACATCATCATCATAATCTCCTGACAAATAACATTCTCTGAAGCTTGATGGATAGCACTCTGATATGCTGTATCGAATACCTTGCTGACTGAATGATACATCTGAAAAATATTTGAAAGTTGTCTTTCTAGAACTGGGCAGATACAAGTCTTGCCTTACTGACCTAGAGAGATATAAGAGATGTGTAGCTCCCTCAACAAAGAAGGGAAAATAGATTTACCAGTTTTATGTTTTGTCTTACCTTATTTTGTATCGCTTCATATCACCTCTTGTTTTAACATGCATTTAAGGAACTCCTAAGAGATTAATGCTTGTACCCCTTAGTACTCTTGAGAAAATAAATATTAAATGTAATAAGATGGATTAATTTTTCATTTCACTGCTCATTGCTTTCCTTTCAGCTTCTTGCCTGATTACATCAGTGGTGATTTTGATTCCATTCAGCCTGAAGTCAAGGAGTACTACAGGGTCAAGGTAAATTAAATCTCTCTGATGAATTTTTGTGTGATAGAGCATTGTAAGATCCAACCCATTAGTGCCCCCGTTGGTCATTAAGTAATTCTTGCTCCCTTGGTTTCTTTAAGGCTGCAGTTGTGAAGCACCTTACAAGCCCAGAGGTTGAGCTTCATGTGGCACTGTACTAATGCTTAAAGTAAACACAGGAGGTGCAGTACTGCCTGTGTAGGGTGACTTTTCATAGCATAAGGTGAGGAAATAGATTGTATGTTGCTAGAGATTACAGTAATGAGAAACTAGGATAAAACTTCCTGAAAAATCTGACTACTTTTGCATGGTGAGATACAAAGAAATAAAGATTAACTTGTTGTAATTCCCACCTGGCTGGCACCTACAGACATTCTAGAGAGTTTCTCTGTTTGTTATTTGTATTATGTAACTTTACCTTTTTCAAGGAAAGCTGCAGATGGAGACATCTGTCTCTTTCCTCACTCACTGAAGCATTGAATTACACCTGACTGCTTCTGCTTCACCAGTGCAGTGCCCTCCTTAATGTGTTATTGGATAAATTCCTGCATATGTTAATTTATTTCCAGTGTAGCCACCGTGTTTCCAGTGAGCAACATAAATGTGAACTCGCTTTGCTTACCTTTGCAGCAGGCTGCACTTGCAAGAGGAGTAAGTGTTTCATCCTTGGTGAGCTAGTTGATTTAGTCTGCTGCTATTGAATGTGTGAAAATGAAATTTGCCTGAAATCTTCCCTAATGGACTTGGGATCAAATGGTTAGGAAAAAGGTTTCAGACTGTGAGGGGTGGGCTAGAGGAGTGTGTGGAGCTGGGTGGGTTTCAGTCCCTCTCTGAACACTGTAGAGTTTTATTTCCATGTTCTACCCCATTTTTTAGAAGGGAGAAGTGTGTGATGGCAGTTCATATTAGGAGGAGAGCTCAAGAAAAATGCTTGTGAATCTTTAAATTACAGCTTGGGAAGAGAAAATAAAATAAAAAGTTTGGGGTTAATGCTATTCATTACAGGCTGGAAATTCATTACCTGTTAGTAAATAGGGAAACCACAAAAACCACTGCTCTGTTTGGCATGGTCATGGGCAACCAACAGTATCAATATAGGCTGGGGGATGAACAGATCAAGAGCAGCCCTGCTGAGAAGGACTTGGGGGTGCTGGTGGATCGGAAGCTGAACATGAGCTGGCAATGCAGTCCAGAAAGTCAGTCGTGTCCTGGGCTGCATCAAAACCGGAGTGGCCAGCAGGTCAAGAGAGGGGATTCTGCCCCTCTACTCAGCTCTGGTGAGAGCCCACCTGGAGTGCTGTGTCCAGCTCTGGGGTCCTCATCGACCTGGAAGGACATAGACGTGTTGGACCGAATCCAGAGGAGGGTCACCAAGATGATTAGAGGGGTGGAGCCCCTCTCCTATGAGGAAAAGCTGAGAGAATTGAGATTGTTCAGCCTGGAAAAGAGAAGGCTTCAGGGTGACCTAATTGTGGCCTTCCAAGTACCTGAAGGGAGCCTACGAAAAAGCTGGAGAGGGACTTTTTACAAGAGCATGTAGTGACAGGACAAGAGAGAATGGCTACAAAGTGAAAGAGAGTAGATTTAGCTTGGGTAGGAGGAAGAAATTCTGGCCATAGCATCCCTTTTGTCAGCTCAGTTGCAACTTATTGTTGATATGCAGGTTGCATCTTCTCTATGAACACATAGTGAACTATTCTGCTTCATACAGAGTTAATACATCTGTGCAAGTGCTGAGCTGATAGCCTGTAAAGAAAACAGTAATTCATCAGGATTGTAAAGGTGTAATGAACAGAATAATCTAATCTACAAAATCCTTGCCTGGGGTCCTCATACAATGCAGTTAGACTTTAGGTTTTAATTTTGTGTGTACATGGAAAGAAAAATAATTTTTTTGCATTTTTAAATTAATTTTCCATGGTCAGAAAATTAGAATGGTAAATACAGGTGTCTAAGGATATCTTGAGCAAAAAATATAATAAAACACAGAATTTGGAGAAAGTTGTATGTTTCTTCTCTTGTAAAACATCTTGTTCATTAAAGCACTCTTTGTAGTGTCTTTTGGAAATTGTCCAGACAATTTCCAAAGTCACTGTCTTTTGGAAATGCTGTATGTGTTCATGATCCAAAATGTATTAGAGATACTTAAAACAGGCTGTGAGAGAACTTCAGGTGAGTGGATCAATGTAGTACTATTGACATTAGGGAAGTATATAGCAGCATGTTGTGAGTTAGGGTAGCTTCCCATACCATCCTTCCTTACCGACAGGCAGATTACACCCAGAGACAAGGTAAGCCACTATCATTAGAGAATTTTACTGTATTGTTTCAAACATTCTCTTTTATCAGTTGTTTTTACTTTTTATAAAAACTACCTGTATGGGCAGAAATTGATACATCATGGCTTTTTTTATCTATCTGACGATAGCATGCCACTGCTTAAGAGGAGTTACTTTTTTACAGTAAAACTTATGGATGTTAATTATTGAGTTAGAAAACATAATCTTATGCAAGTGTTTTTGTCAAAGACAGACGAGTGTAGTGCTGAATAAGAAGCAGAAAGTATTAAACTCAGTGTGTGAAACTAATTATGGTTCTGTGAAGCATTGTCTATAGGCAGTTGTATCATCATCACAAAACTGTAACAGCCTGACTCTCCATCACACCAGCTTCATGCCAGGAGGTTGTTCCTGGACTTGGAAGGCTTTCTACCTCATTGAAGTGATGAAAGCAAGAGCAGTATAAGCCACTACAGGAAACATTATTCCTGAAGTTTCACTAGGGATATCTTTAAGCCACTTCCTCTGGTGTTTATACTTGAGCAAGGACTACATGTGTTTCCATTTTCCCTTTAGGAGGACAATCACCATTGTATAGGGGAACCTTATTTAAATAAAGTTCATAAACATGAAGCAAATAAATGCATTTTATCTCTGTTAGGTGTGGTGTGCCATATTTAGTTAAGAGATTAAAGGCAAAACGCTGTGTTGGAAAGTAACTGTGTAATAGACTTATGAGTGGAATGTGTAAGTGATGAGTTGGATATGTTGTCCTTTTGGGAGAGAATAAGTAAGCATGCATCAGAGGTTATTCAGCTTTACTTTTTATTTTCTGTGGTCTTAGTTTTGCCTCATTGACTTGTCATACTTGTAGTCTTTTATTCTTTATATTAAAAGATTAGTGACTATTTCCCCCATTTCTTAGAGTTAAGTAATGTTAAAGCTGGATAAAACTGCACCACAACTGGAAATGAAATGTCGTATTTAAAATTTCCTCTTAAAATCATATTGCACTATAAATGAAGGATAAAGAATAACAATTCAATATTCTTTATTCTATGTATTTTTTGTCATTGTTAAAATAGATATTGAGAAGAGATTTTGTACTTTCATGATAAATACGCATGTTCATATGATCCCATAATAGATGCACTGGCAGTCTTTCTCTGTACAGTCTGAAGCGCGTTGGAAATGACACTGCACAAAGCAGGGAGGATTTGTGGTGATATTTCTGTCATTGCAGTTTCATCTATTTCTTGCTTTAGCTCAATGTTTCTATTATTGAAACCTTTTAAACATTACTTTGAAGTTAAGGCAGCCATATGTATTGTTATGCCTCAAACAATGTTCTGTTTCTGAAGTTTTGAGACCAAAGACATTATCTAAAATTATACCAAATCTGTACTTATGCCTAGAAGGAGAAGGTCAAATTCAGTGCCTTTTGAAATCCAGATTATGCTATTTATTAAAAATCCAGTTTGGCTTTTCTGCTATGCAAACTCCATGTGCTTTGAAAGGCTTCTGTAGACTTAGTAGGCTCTACTTCAGATCTGTAATTAAATTCTGTAAAACTTATTTACAAATCCAGTTTTTTTCCTATTCTCTTTTCAAGTCCCATAGAGCTGCTTATTTTTGCAGGCAGTTCTGCAGCTATAGCACTTTCCTATTTCCATTTCCAGGGTGTAATGTTTATCAGGGCTGTAGAAATGCTTAATAGGTATGGTGTGAGTATTGTCTTTTTGTTCTGTGTTGATGCATCTATAATTAGATTTACAAAATGTATTTGTAGCGCTGATATAGTGCTCGTATGTCTCTCTGACTTCTACACTTTCTTGCTAACCTGCGTGTTTTAATGCCATGTTCCCTGCTTGCTTTCCAAGACCAAACTTTTTAATAATTTTGTGAAATCCCAATATTAATTGATTTATCTCAGTTATATTATTATAATTTAAGACATACAAAACCATTGAGTTTTTTCTGACTATTTTATCTTTTATCCCTGAATGTTAGTATGTTTTCCTAAAACTAATTTTTAATAGAAGTTGGGACTTCAGATATTAAAACGTTCTACTCGTTTAGAGCATTCTTGTTACATTGAATAGTTTTCTAAGAAAAATATGGTTCATTTTAGGCCCTGATTCCTTTGTGAGAGGTCTTAAGGTTTCAGAAGGAGCTGCAAAAATTGTGCAGGTGGATCTGAAACACTTCAGTCTTGCTATTAGACTGATTACTTCCGCTTGACACTCCCCACTTTAGCTTTCAAGCAGTCCCTTGCTCTGTGTGTCCTGCTGAAGATACCTTTGACAAGCATAAAAAGTGCTATGCCTACCTCAGTTCAGCTTCTGATGTGTTAAGAGTGCCCAGTGCCACCTGGACTTAGATCAAAGATGTAATCTTTTTCTACTGAGGTACATTCATTGAAAGAGCCTCAGTGTCTTAATACAGATAGAGGTTCATCAAGTCAAGATGATTTATAGGGTTGGGATGGTCCTGTTATTAACAGTTCAAACTGTATATGACTGTATGCAATTTAGGATTTTAGACTGGAAGCTTTCTGTATGCCTGAGTCATGTAATTATTCAACTGTAGCTTTCATAAATGGTTCCATTCTTGAATAGTGCATCAGAGGTCTTGTCAAGACTGTGTTTCCAAGTGACTTGTCTAGGTGAATCTGGTTATATGATTTCTTATTCATGCTAAATGAAAGTAATA